GGAAGCGACCTGGAACAGCAGAGGAGGAGGGGTAACGAGCAAAGCTGAGCCAAGTCAGAGGAAAATGAAAGTGATTTTTTCTTTACTTTTTTTTTTTGGTGGCAGGTAAGCTAATATTCACTACTTGTTAGGTATCTACTTTGTTCCAATTATGTTTTAAAGATGAAGGGATAAAGGTGCTCTTAGTCATAAAGACAGTAAATTCATCATTACCAACAAAAGGGGACACCCAATTAATAAAGAAAACAAAAGACACCCCAAAAATCAAACCCCTAGTGACAGCTATAATCCACTACGGATAAATAAAAGTCAGGACTTTTGGGTAAAATCTTGATACTGGTGGTTCAGGTCAAAATACAATTTAGCACTGTGTGCTTTTGCGGCTACAAATAAAGTAAAAGCTTTAGAAGTCTTCTGATTTATCAAGAGATATAAAATTGAAGCACGAAAACATTTTATTTTATTATTATTATTTTTTAAGTAGGCTCCATGCCCAGCATGGAGCCCAATGAGGGGCTTGAACTCACGACCCTGTGATCAAGACCCAAGCTGAGATCAAGAGTCGGACGCTTAACTTACTGAGCTACCCGGACGCCCTACAGGGAACATATTTTGAGAACCACTGCTTTCAGACATCAGGACTTCATTCTCTTGTGGAACTCAGGTTGAGAAGGAATATACTGGCCAACACTTAATTATTTGTGGAAGAAATAATTGTTTCATGTATTTATTTGTTGAAGAAATAATCATGTTGAACATAACATGAATAGGAGCATTATTAAGGCTTTCTATCAAAAATAGGTCTGACCCATCTATTGTGTAATTGTAGTTCCCCACACCAAAATTTCAAGAGAGCCCCTCAGATTTACAGTAACTGTAAAAGTACAAATCTCCTCAGAGATAGCAGTCCTTTTTTGAGCAACCCCTCTACCATAAGAGCTATCTGCACAGTACATGAGAATCTGAACATATAAAAGCAGCAGTTCTTCTCATGGCCAAAGAAATTTTTTTGAAAGAAATTATTGTTAAGATTGTATTTATTTGACAGACAGAGAGAGAGAAAGAGAAAGTGAGAGAGAGCACAAGTGGGGGGAGGGGCAAAGGGAGAGGGAGAAGCAGGCTCCCCGTGGAGCAGGGAGCCCGACGCAGGACTCGATCCCAGGACCCTGGGACCGTGATCTGAGCCTAAGGCAGATGCTTCACCGACTGAGCCACCCAGGCGCCCCCAAAAGATTATTTTTTAAAGGCTTCCTTAAAACAGCTCCCCTGGTGTGCATAAATATCGGCTTACAGATCATTCTCTGTGTGTAAAACCTGTGTTAAGAGCCAGAAACCAGGCACCCGTATCTGCCACTGTGACTCCCACGTGTACCACGAATGCCATGGTCAGGCAACCGCTTTTCTTTTTGTCAATAAATACGATAGGAACCCAATTCTACCTCCGGGGACATTTCTGTACATCTCCTAGATATATCACGGACCAAGGCTGAAGAAAGCATCCCTGTGTAGTTTCGATACAATGTGGTTCCTTCATTATCCCAGTAACAGAGGAGAAACAAGTCCCCGGGGAGCTGATCAGTCATCGCGTTAACATCTACGTCCACCAACAAAGGCGCAGGCGTGCAAGGTAGTCCACCAGACGGCAGCTCATATGGGGAAAGTGCTAAGAGCTGAGAAGCACCCACGGGATGATGGCAAGGGATTAGGAACAGCCCCTTGGTCCCCCCGATGGCTGGAGGGACAGAAGGGAGGAGGTGGTGTGACCAGAGCCCAAAGGCCAGGACTGCCCAGTAGGAGCTGAGGCTGTAGAGAGAGGAGTTGTCCAGAGGGAGCTGGGATCACAGAGGAAATGAAGTCAACATGAGCGACATCGCCTAAGACAGAGAATGTGCGGGGCAAATACCCTGGCTTCTTCCCAACTCCTGCCTCCCAAACTCCTGCGGGTGTCTTCTACGATTTTGGCCACATCTAACCAGAAACCAGTTGGCAAAGGAGCCTGGGAAATTTAGTCTGTAGAAGTCAGTCCCCAGCAATACAAAGCGGGGAGTTAAAGAGCAAATAGGCACATGACGGGCCCATTAAAGATGAGTAAAATCCTGTGGATGGCTTTTCCATTTGACTACCTTGTTAGAAGCTATGTAAGAGAAAAATTACACGTTAAGGATGGCAGAAAGCCCCTTCTTTTGCATGTTTGAACTTCAAATGGGATGTCCAATATATTTAAGATTAATCCGGTGGAAATATCTCCAAAATTTTATCACTAGGTATTAGAAAAATACATTTTGATATATGATCCTCCATGCCATTTGCACTTCTTTTTTGCAGTGTTTCCAAGGGTTAAAACAAAGGTGGCCTGTATCTGGTAGAGCCAGAAGGGCATAGGAAACTAGAAAGCTAACAACTGCAAATAAAAATAGAGATTACATTATGAAAGTAGAACATAAAACAGATGCAGAAAATCATTCCATTTGTAAATTTCCAATTAGGTTTTTCTCAGGAACATGATGGCTATAATTAGCCATTGAGGTCACTCTGCATGTCTTTGGTCTGATGACTTCCAGAGAAATGAATGTTTAGGGACTTACCTCTTTTTAAAGTCCCAAGGATCTGTGATTTGCTATTATTGTAGGACGCCAGTTATTTGATTCGTAAATACACTGCTGCATTATTACCCACTGCATCCACTCCAACAAACAACGAGCAGAATGGGAAGAAACGGTGCGACATACTCACACAGAAAGTTATCTGACTTATTCTGTAGAATATACCACCCTTCGTCAGCCACGGCGATGATGGGTTGAATTCGATGGTTGTACTTATAATGCCATCTTTCTGGAATCTCTTCTCTTTTGTAAACAGTAAGATTAGGATGGGCATGAGCTAGGGCTGCATAGACTTCGTCCAATTTACCTCAAAGAGGAAGGATACGGAGAGGCACTCAGAACCAGGCATTCACTGTTACAATCAGAGAAACCACCCAGGCAACAGAGGCCAATGAATATGTCTTCCTGAGGTAAACCACCAGCGGGCAGAACATAGGGAAATACAGCCAGATACTTGAAGACTCTTATCCCCTTGAGGAAAGAATCTTGAGGGGGAAACAGAAATGATTCATCTTCTGCGGGATGTAAATTCACTTTACAGAACTGAGAGGCCATTATATAGAACTAGAAATCTCTAAAGACTTAACTACACACACACACACACACACACACACACACACACACACACACCCAATTGGCTGCACTAAGTAAAATGTTTACTCAAATGAAACGAAGGCTAAGTTCTGATAGGAGCACAGAGAGAGAATGTCTGACTGGAGGGTGAGGCAGCGCTTGAGAAAGGGCAGACCAGAACACAGCTTCTGAAACGGAAGAGTTAACACCCTGGAGGTGAGGCAGAAGTACTCCCTGTAACTGCAAATGCAGCGTCTTTAATCCTTTTCTTGTTTTTCAAATCCATTTGTTGGGGCTTCCTCCCTGCCTCGCAACACCCCAACACAGGACACACTCCAATTTTATAAGGAAAATTGAAGAGTTAATGTGATTTCCTCAAACAACAAAAGACTTGTTATTTGTTACATTTGTTAAAATTTTAAAAGTTTGTTAAAAAGTTTATGTGCAGGTGCACATGTATATTTTAACATTCGCTGTTTCATATGATCCTCTTGATTCCCTTGTGAGGGATATAAGGCAATCTGTTCTCTCATTTCATATCTAGATTAACTCTAGATGGTGATAAAACAGAAGTCAGAAGTCTGAGTCTTGCTCTGCACTTCCTTTGTGATCTGGGGAGGTTAAACTTGAGCTAGTTCACCTGTCTTTAAAATAGAAGTAACACTTAGGTGACAACACTTATGAGGCTTTGAGGAAAGGTTTGTAAGAAGTTCAATGTATTGTTATGACTTCCTCGATTTATAATCAGGGAAAAGGAATCTTCAGCTTGACCCATGCTTTCTCCTTCCTCTACTGCACTGCTTCCCTAATAAGCAGGTCCTACAAAAGGATCCATAGTAGGCTAAATTTAGGGCTTCCATAAAATCACTGTAATTGCATGCAAATTCTGTATGTCTCTTTCCATCTCAATTTTTCTGAGAAAGGAGGCTATAGCTTTCATCATCTTTGGTGGTTCCAAGATGGTTAAATCCATCTGCCATAAATACAGAGAGAACATCAATTTCAAAATTCTTGGGAAAAGTGAAAAATTACATGCTGAGAAAAGAGATTTTGTCTTTTCAGAGTCTAAGGATTAAACCCTAGACTATTACCATGACACAGGCAAGTATATTTTGAAGATACAGAAACAAAAATTCTCCATTCAGTTGCACTGGGCACATCCAGCCCCAGCCCCAGATCACCACTCAGTCAGACTTACCTTCTTTTGGCAAGATGGCCGCTACTGGAGATTGGTCAATCAGGATATAGTGGTCTTTATCCAGATACTGATCAAGTTCTATTATCCTTTCCTCAGAACACTGGGTCATTCCGTGATCACTTGTGATGATTAGGTTCAGAATGTTCCACAACTTGGCCTTTTTCAGCATTTGTATGAGATATCCCAACTTGTTGTCAATATCCGAAATGACAGGCCCCATGAGCGGACTCTCAGGTCCCAAGAGGTGGCCCGTATCATCAGGGTCTTCCCAATAAAGAAGACCAAGACTTATGGGCTCTTTTGATGTAAACCATTCAATAATCTTGGCAACTCTATCTTCAAATGACACAGACTCATTGTAAGGCATGTAGTGAGTAGGAAAGCTATTATGTATTTTTACATCAGCTCCAGGCCACATGGCTGCACCACTAGAATGTCCTGCCCTCTGATTTGTGATCCATATTGGCGTCGCTTCTTCCCAAAACTCAGAATCATAAATAGTCATGTTATCCAAGGAGAAAGATTTATTCAGAATAGGATCAAACATGTCATTTGCAACAATCCCATGATTCTCTGCAAAGAGGCCAGTTACCAAAGTATAATGGTTAGGGTATGTCTTTGTGATAAAAATATTAGTAACTTGCTTCACATGAACACCATACTTCATAACATAATGAAAATGGGGTGTTGGCACTCTATATAAGTAATCCCAACGGAATCCATCAAATGAAACGAGTAGAACCTTTTGCTGGTCTGGTTGGAGAGAAAATGTAACTGAGAATATTAGTGCAGCAAGTACGAAGGACCCCCAGAGGAGTTTTGAAGTCATTTTCAAAGTATTTGATCAGTTCAGTGTAAGACAACCTGTATAAAAAAACACATAGAAGTCAATGGCAATATCTTTTTTTTTTTGGTATACCTTACCCAAAACTGACAGTGATGGTACTTAGTAATCCCAGTCATATAATAAATCACAGCCTGGAAGAATTATGTTGCTCCATCTTAAACAAGAGACCTGGGGCTTCCTGTATAATAAAGCTAAGAAATTTAGTTGCATTTTAGAAACTGTTACTTTCCAAGAATTTATCAAAACATTTCTCAAAGTAATTATTTAAGTAAACTCACCAAATATCATTTTAAAATATAATTTACTTTTGAGAAAAACAAAAACTTTTCAGAAACTTTTGCAGGGGACCCAGACTTCCGACTTCTGGCCAATAAAGTTTATATAGTCAAATTAATATCTATGAATGTATTTATCATTATGGTTAGACCAACTACAGGAACCTAGAAACAAGAAAGTACCATCAGTAAATCCAATAATAATGTTTAAAAAAAAAAAACATATACATTTCTATTTTTCAAAGCCAAAGCCTTATGTTTGGTTCATCACGGTTAGGGATATTCAAGAAAGAAAATAGATGAACTTGGTTTTTTGAAGTGCCATAAAATTTGTGATACTCAAATATACTTGTGAAATGTAAACTGCATTCATTTATTTTATAATTAAAGCATAGCCTTCCTTAAACTAAAACAGTTTCTGTATGAACAGAAACATAATTCTGAAATTTGGTGTTGACTTTCTGAAAGCTAAAATTCGTCCATATTTCATCTTAGTGATATGTGTGGAAAAGGCACTTGCCAGGATTAAAGACTCCCTTTGGATCAAGGTTGTTGGTTGGTTCATTTTCTTTAAATCTGCATATACATCTAAAAAGCTTTTATTCTATTCAAGAAAGCTAACAAAAGGCAATAGGGATAAACAACACGTAGGTAAATTTTGTGAGCTCTCATTGGGCTTGCAAATCAAGCAAGTATTTTTGGTTCTCTCCTTTTCTTGTCCATTCTTGCATGAAGGTATTTGTAAGCCCACCAAAACTTGGATCTATCCACACTTCTGTGCCAAGAAGTCTCTTGAATTCAGCTTTTGACACCTTGCTAATTTGAATATGCTGAAGATATTTTAAACCTCAAAAACAGATCCTGTCTTGCCTCGCTTGCTATATTATAGGTATAGGTAAATAAAAACTGCTTGGTGTGCTTGCTTTGCTTTCAGATACAGTAATTTTTAACTATGATTTCACCATACCTAGAACATTACTTAAACTGAAATTGCGTTAGGTATTGGTCTCCAGACAATGGTTCAAAAATTAAATTTAAAAACTATTTTTCAAATGGCATTAATGTTTCCAATTCTGGAAGGAACATTTAAAAATCAGTTCCAATAAGGAACTCCAACTATATTTACTAACATCTGGCTGAGGATGCTGTCTCCTCTCCCTTTTCCCTTCTCCTGCACCTTCCTAACACAAGGCAGGAAAGCTGTTATGAAACAAATATAATTTAAGGCTAAAAAAAAAAATCAACTACATGAAACACCTGATTTTCCTCTAAGTAAATTAAACTGATAAGAACAGATACTACATGTGATCTTAGCCAAAAGGCCGAGAATCGCTCCTCTAAGTAAATTAATTCAGCAACTGTGGTAAGTAGGAAAGAACTCATTTCCTGGACAAAAGAAAATAAACAAAGGCTAAGTGTTGTCTACAGCTTAGGAATGTTTGGTAAGAAGAATCAATATTATCACATCGATGACATAAAGCAATAAAGAGAGAGATGGGGGTGGGGATGAAAGAAATAGCAGATTTCGTTCTTTTCTGCTGCACAAACTGCTGCACAGTGCAGTGGAATCCCTAGTTCTGGGTCCAGATTTCACCGGGCTGCTTTCCAGTTTCTCCACCCCTCCAATCCTTCCCCCACAGGCAGCCTTGGAAATTGAGGGAAGGGGCGCCAAGAAGCGCGGAGAAAGGGCAAGTGAAGGAGGAGTCGGTGTGTTTAGAGGGACTAGACGTCGAGAGAACGATGTAGTGCCCCACCTTTCCCCCTGGGATTCCAACCTAGTCACTGGGCAGGGTCGGGGCGTTGAATACGTTCGCAATTCGCAGACCTCCCGCCCACCGAGGCCGGCAGGTGTCCCCACGTGGGCTGTGTGCGTGTGCAGAGGAAAGGGGGGGGTCTGAGGGGACAACAGGAGCCGTGTGGGTCCCCAGGAGGGAAGCAGCCCACTCCCCTGGACTCTTACCCTCGCAGCGATCCGGACGGTCCGCATGAGCTTGGGACAAGAGGACGGAGGGTCGGGGGGGGGGGTCCCTCACGCAGACCCGGGGACAATAGCGAGGAGGAAGCGGAAGCCAGGATCGCCCCTTGAACTTGCAGCGGCTCACCTGCACGCAGCCTCTGCGCGGAGCACCTGACCAGCACCGCCTCCCGGCCGCAGGTCCCGCCTCTTGCCTCCTATTGGCTGGGGTAGGACGGTGCCCTCCGCTGGACCTGCCCAACCAAAGCCGGGCTCTAGGAGTCGCTGCACCGCCTGCCAATCAGCGGGCCTGGGGGGGGCGGGCGCTGCCTGCGTCTGGAGGGTGGAGAGGGCACAGCCTGCGGGAGCGGAGGATCGTCGGGAGGCTCCAGGGGTCGCGGAGGCCAACATGGCCGCTGCTGGGTCCTCCCTGAGGTCCCCTGTCTGCCTGGTCACACATCCTCCTGCGGTGTGGCCTTTTCTTGCTGGCAGTTACGTTGTCGTCGGCGATGTAGAACGATTATAAAGCCCTACCCCAGTGGTTTGTCAACACTCACTGTTGTGGTTGAAAGTACTTTTATTTTCTTATCTGATCTCTCAAGGTTTTTTGTTACTCTGTTTTTTTCTTATCAAAAATTGGTGACCCCATACCCTGGACTTTGCTCTGAGGAACACTTGAACGCCCCAGAAAGTCGACGGGACAATGACATTTTAACTCTTTATTAGCTGGTATGACCTGCTTTACCTCAGAAAAATCTGGTTTCGAAGGGTTTAATTTGGTCAGGTCTGCAGCCCCAATGTTGCAGGTTTTTGCAACATAAGCACCAGGTTTTTGCAGTGTAAGGTCTCAGTGGTACCTGAAACCGCTCGAAATCAACCACGTTCAGGAGTTGGGTTAATCTGCCCAGGGGTGGAGGCTGACCAGCTACTCTGATGGTTTCATCCAGACTGGAGACTCTGCTTCTCAGCTTTGTTTCCAAACACGCAGTCAGACTACAAACATCAGGTCTCATTTCCTCTCTCAGGAAGTCTTCTGGTTTGTTAGGGGCCCTGTTTGTGTGTGGGCAAGGGCATGGTTTGTCAATTTGATCTCAACTATATTTACCATAAGTTGTAACAATGACCTTGAGCTCCCTGGAAGGGTCCCCAGGCCTAATTCTGACCACCCTGCAATGGAAAATAATATGTGCCTGGCTGTCACAATCTAAGTTTAAACATCTAGTTAGCCCATAAAATAGAGCAAAGCTAGTGGCTTCGGCTCCTCCCTGGAGCTCCTGCCCCCCAGCTCCCTGTCTAGTGTACTGGAACTGTAAAATGAATAGACATTCTTGCTGATATTTAAACAAGGCAAACATTTTGGTCATTTTTTTTTCTCTTTCCCTCAACTTCTTGTGGAAGGACAGCCCCTACCCCAATCGCTCCCTTCTGATTGCATCGAACATCCCAAAGGGCATCTGGGCACTCTTCCATGACCTTTTATTTGTAGTAACCTGAATTTATGGTTCTCCACAGGTGGGGTGGGGATTAGAGAGGCTGGTTTCTGTTTTTAGCCAGACCCAGCGACAGTGAAGTTGTACAGTTTGTTCCAAGTTCCTTAAGCCCTGTGCTTTGAAGTTGCCCAAGCTTGGAACGGGGTGGTCCAATATTATAAGCCCTTGTCTCCGCCCCCCCCCCCATTGCCCCAACCAATAGGCCAACCCTGTGTTTTCCCAGACACTCAAAGAACAGTGCATGCTGACTAATGAGCAGGGGGAGTGAAGACCAGACTTTTATCTGGGTCACTGAACGATTTTGGACTCTGTTCAGGTGATGACACTTGGCCTTACTCTGCAAACTTTTTATGGAATGCGTGATTGTGTTCACCAGCTACCCCAGTGATGTAGGCATGGTACAGCTGTTCCCTACGGCACACGATACGGAAAATGACTCAGGAGGAGCTCAGCGAGGGCCAGAGACTCTTCCCAGATCTCCATGTGACAACATGTGGTGTTCGACTGATAGGCTTGTTGTATATCTCATGTCAGTAATGGGGGAAAAACAATCAGGCTTGAATAGTATAAATAGAGGAATGATTGTAAAAAAAAATGGAATTCCTGCTTACATCTGTACCAGGTCTCCTGCCCTGTTGTCTCAACTTCTGTCCTGTTGTAACAACTACTCAGGACATCATGGTGGCATAAGCCGGAACCTGTTACTGTTATTGATGGACTATTCCTTTATTTTATGTTATTGAGTTAAGATAATCATCTTCAAGCTAGTAATATGTTTGTGAGTAATGGAGTACGAGAAGAATCAACTTCTTTCATGAGTTTTGGAGTGGGAAGGGGGTCCCTCTGCCTACCTAAGGAAGTCTGATAGGGGTTTGAGGGCTGGATTATTTTCTTCTTCAGGAGCTGGAAGAGGCTTGTGTGAAAGCTGAAATGTGAAGTGTACTTTATGAAGAAAATAGCCAAGACTGGCTCTGCCACAGAAGTTTTGTTTTTAAAACTAGTGTCTGTCCCGTGGCAGGGGAAATGAACAAATTATTTTACAATGCCTGTAAGACTGCAATACGTTATACCACAAAAACTACCAAACTAAAACAAAGTCTATCTCATGATCCTTTATAGACCAGTCTGCAAAATGTGGGTCTCACATATTCAATAGCCATAGGTTAGGAACCGTTGGGACTCTGGTTCTGGACTGACCTTGATTCTTGATAAAAAGTAGGTCTTCACTAATTTGGACTTACTAACAGAAGTTCAGCCTGATGAATAAAAAGTTGAATTATAGATTATTCAAGACTTAGTCCAAGTAGTTTATAGCTGTTAGTAATTTAGGCTGCTAATGATATATTTGTACCTATTAAAACTATTTTTTCACACAATTATTATATTTTTTTCCTCAGAAAGCTTTATGTAAGCCAAATATAACCTTCTAAAGTTCTTTGTATTCTTGTATTTCGTAAATTCTGTTTATAGTGTATCATTTTCGTAGGGCTACTGTAACAAACTATGACAAACTAGGTGGCTGACAACAACAGGAATTCATTTTCTCACAGTTTTGGAGACTAGAAGTCTGACATTAAGGTGTTGGCAGGGCCACACTCCCTCCAGAGGCTCTAAGAATCTTTCCTTGTCTCTTCCAGCTTCTGGTGGTTTCTGATGTTCCTCGGCTTGTTGCAGCCAGCTCCATCCGTTGCCTCCATGGCCACGTGGTGGTCTCCTCTGTGTCTTCATATGGCCTCATATAATGACATTAGCCATTGGAATTAAGGCCCACTTTAATCCAGGAGGACCTCATCTAAACAAATCTAATTGCATCTGCAAAGATCCTATTTTCCAATAAGGTCACATTCTGAGGTTCCAGGTGAATGCAAATTTGAGGGAGACATATTCAACCAGTATATGTAGCTAGCAGAATGTTTAATTTTTTTTCAGAATGTTTAATTTTATAGCTCAGCCTAGATCAAAAGTTCATGAAAAATTATGAAAATGGCTCAGATCAAGGAAACTGACAACATCTAGTGCTGAGGAGGATGCCAAGGAACTGCAACTATCATATGTTGCTGGCGGGAATGATACGGCCCCTTTACAAAATGGTTTGGAAGTGTCTTACAAAGTTAAATATTCATGTATCATGTAAGCCAGGAATTCCACTCATGGGTATTTAGACAAGAGAAATGAAGAAGATGACCTCTCAAAACTTGTAAGCAAATTTGATTAGCAGCTTTATTCATAACCATTAAAAACTAGAAACAACCCAAATGTCCCTGAACTGTGAATAGATAAACAAATTGTGGTCTATCCAAAAGTGGAATATTGTTCATCGCTAAGAAGGAATGAAGTAGTGATACATACAATCACATGGATGAGTCTCAGAAGCATTTTGTTAAGTGAAAGAAGCCAAATACACATTGGCTATTTCCTGTTTGATTGCATTTATATGACCTTCTAGAAAAGACAAAACGATAAGGACAGAAATCAGATTGGTGGTAAAGGGAGGGCATTGGCTACAAAGGGGCACAAGGGAACTTTCTGATATGAGGGAATTTTGATTGTGATGGTGTCTCTCTGATCGTCTAAGTTTGTCAAAATTCAGAGAATGATACACCTGAAAATATTTCATTCTACCATATGTAAATTTTACCTCAAGAAACAATAGTAGCAAAAAATAAGTCCTAATCTGTGATCACCCGCCCAAAGGTTCATGAGTCAGGCCTAGTGGTGTTTGTTTCTTCTTGGTCACTTTTTGGTGTGTCCAGAGTCTATTAGCTCAGTCTGCAGGAGAGCAGAACTTGCAAGTGTAGGAATCCCCTGGGGCCTGGCTCTGCTGGTTTTCATGTTCTCTCACCTTATGGAGTGACGTCTGGGAATTACTCAGCAAAGAAAGAATGATTATTTTCTAGGCTGGGACTGAATGTCATCTGTTGAATAACTCCATCAGTCATGGATGTACTTATGCAGGCAGAGGGGCACTTGTCTTTTGGTCTCTGATTGGAGGCCTATTTTGAAAGACACACTCTCAGTACAAAACCGTACATGTGTTCGTGGCGCGGGAGGCGAACACACTTAGTCACAGCCACGCCCTCCGGTCTTCCTGAAGAATACAGCCAGAGGAAGCCTCAGAGCACTTAGCGTAACCTCACCATTTACTTGGAAAAGTACTGGCTTCTCATGGGTGTTACAATTCTGCCAATTTACTGTGAGTGTGGGAGGACCTAAAATATATTGTCCTCCTCCCAGATCAAAAAGACATTTCTTTCCACTCTAGGTATTGTTACATTTAAAATGTACATGTAGACATCCTTTGCAACTAATATGTTGCTTGAGGGTACAATGGGGCCTTTGATAAGTATTACACTTTTTTTAAAAAGATTTTATTTATTTATTTGAGAGAGAGCACACAAGCAGGGGGAGGGGCTGAGGGAGATGGAGAAGCAGGCTCCCCGCTGAGCAGGGAGCCCGATGCAATGCGGGACCCCATCCCCGGACTCTGGGATCATGATCTGAGCCAAAGGCAGATGCTTAATCGACTGAGCCACCCAGGCGCCCCAAGTATTACACTTTACTAAGAGGCAAAGCGGGTACTGATTGCTTCATAGTTCTATGGTTTTTTTCGGAGGGCAGGGTGGGAAAAATCAGGGGAGGCTTCTCCCTGCCCCTTTCCTGCATGGCTCCAATGTCATAATCAGAAATTCATCTCTCTGCCTTACGG